TGAACATTATTTTATATTATTTCTGTTCATTTTTTAAAGTGCCTTTTAGTCGTAATAGAAAGAAACTATTAAGAGCTATCAAGTGAAATACTGTGTTAGTTACATCTGCAACACACACTCGATGGCATGTGTACAATGTAAATCATTAATCTTCATTTGATTAAGTCACTTTGTCTTGCATACCTTTTCATTTCCAATCAGAGACCAGAGATTGTGGAGGATTTTGTGAGAAACTTTCTTGTTAAAATGGGCATGACTAGAACACTGGATTGTTTCCAGACTGAATGGTAAGGACAGTACACTTTGATAAGAGGTGAAAAAAGATTTTTCTTTTCTTGCAATAGTACATGACCTTTACTGAATTACAAAGTTCATCTTGTACATGTATGTTGATGAAGAAAGCTGTACCATGTGTGTACTTTCAGTCTGTACTGATTCATCCTTTTTACTATAATAATAAATTAAATGCACTAATTTTGGTGCTACTGAACAAAGAAGTACTTTTTGCCTCTTTTGTGCAACATTTTTTTATGGTTTTTTTACACTGGGCCAATAAAAATACTTTTGTTAAAAAATGGCCTGAGTTCATTGAAATATATAAAAAAATTCTGTTATTTACCTTCAGCAGTATTAAAAGCACTAATGCCAGTGGGGCTGAGGAAATGCCTGAAACAAATAATTTGAATCAAACATAATGGGGTCAAGATTCCCAACTGGCCGGGGGCAAACCATTGGCCTTTTTCAAGGGTGGTCGAGGATTTGACGAACCTGGGACTAGCTACCGTGAACAAATCCAGCTAGTGGTCAGGGTGGGACTTGAACCCGGGGCCTCTGAATTGCAAGTCCAGTGTTCTTACCGTTTGACCACTCTGCCTCCACTCAAACATTGGACAAACTTGGAATCCATCTTTCAGGTATGAGCTGTTACAAAAAGGAATGCTTAATGAAGAGGACGTCAGGGTTGTGCCAGATATATATGTCAAGTAAGTTGTACATGTGCTATTCATTCTAAACCTACATATATCAATTGGTCTACAAAGTGATTTGTTTGTTGCTTGTAGAAACATGCAGTTAGATGATCTGGTGACACAGCTGCGACAAGATGTTACCAGGTTCAGAGAAGCTGCCGAGTAAGTAAATAATGTATTTAACTTTTTTACCGCTATTTACAGTGTGTGTACAATTACTATAATAGACATCATCACAAGATGACTGCAGTTTACTACAGTAGTAGGGAAGTTTGAAGCCTTCATAGTCTGAGTGCATTTACTAGTACCAGCCGATTTACAGATCCAGACATTGAAGAGGCGGGAGAAGGGGTCTGCTTTGCTCATCCAAGTACTTTGGGCCTTGTTTGGGTTAGAAAAAAGGGGGTGGGTGTCTGTCCTATTATTGTAAATATAGTTGTTACGTGCATGACATATTTTTTTTCGTGAACTCGTTTGCAGATAATTACATCTATTTCATGTACAAATGTATGTCACTCAGATTATTTCCCATATTTTCTGAACCGGATACATGTACAGTGTATGTTGGTATCCTTAAATTCCTCCACATTCCTCTCAAGATACAGTGTAAACTTTTGCATGCTGACAACTGATGTGTCTGATAAGTTTGTCCCCATTTATGTCACCACTGTTTATACTTCAAGTACATGTATATGACTTTAACATGAATTTACTTAATTGCAATTGCCAATAAACACTTTAAAATGAAAACAAAGATGGCATGCATTTCATCAGTGTAATAAGATTAAAGGTGTTTTTGTCCTAGACAGCTATGTACATGTCTTAGGAATTTTTTCTAGTAAACAGCGTCAGGGTTTCAAACTGTCATCAGCAGCTCAGGTATGGATCAAATACATTTTCTAGCCCCACAAAGCTGTTGTGTTCATTTTACGTTAGAGATTGATAATCTAAATGTACTTGTACATGTATGCAAAATGTAATGATGTTGTACAACATGAATCTTCAACAGTAAAGCAAAGCAAACATTTGTCCGTCTGAAAAAGGAAAGAGATTTTCATAGAATGCATCATAAGAGAGTTGTCCAAGAAAAGAACAGGCTCATTACAGACATAAAAAGGTACATCCTAAATTAAACTATACCTACTGTAATACACCGGTATGTGTTACAGGTCAAAATTAAATTGAGCTTAAAGATTTCAAAGGTAGGTTGATTCTCAATATCTTTTGTCTCTGACTTGCCCTAGTTTTCATGTATTAGCTATGCCTAGGAGAAAAAGGAAATTGAGAATCAACCTAGCTAGGTTAAAAAACTTTAACCTGAATTAAATTTGTCCATTGTATGCTCTGATCTATATATGCCAGGTACGTGTAGAGGACGTTATGGGGCAGGAGGGGAGAGGAAAGTTCTCCCCATTCGCTTAGTTTCCTAACCGTAATCACTAAACTTCAGATTAATTCGGCGTTCGGCGTTCTGCAAAATACCCCTGCCGTCATTCGACGGAAAATAGCTCAAGTTGTTCAAAGGGATCCAATAATGACCAAACCGTTGGTGACCAAGCCGTTCGAAAGGCCTGATGTTTCCGACGGACAGGTGACCAAGCAGTTCGAACGGCCTTATGTTTCCAATGAACGGATGGCTCGAGCCGTTCGAACGAAATGATGTTTCCAACGAATGGGTGATCAAGTCGTTCGAACGGGCCGACGTTTCAACGAACGGGTGACCAAGCCGTTTGAACGGGTTTATATTTCTAACGAACGGGTAACCAAGTCCTTCAAACGGGCTGACGGTTTAAACGGCCGGTGATTAAGCCGTTCGAACGGCTGACAAACGGCTTGTAAACGGAAGGACGTTAGTGTACGTTTTCCTGTGGAAGGTCACGGCCCCTAACATTCATTCAAGTCTGCTAACATTTAGCCTGAGTATCAGGCGTTTCTGGGCCGGGAAAAGGAGAAAGATGGAAGCGAAAAAGGGAGAGAGCTCCCCCTCCCCCCTCCCCCATTTAAAATCTCCTCTCCCCTATACCCTTAGAAAGGCCTTATACTCAGGCTAGCTAACATTCATTTTTAACTTTCTTTATTTTTATTTTTTCAAATGCAGACTTAAGAAGCACTACTCTTCTTATGAACCAACACTTCAGACTCTAAAACATAAATATGAGGTAAGGTTATAATACTCAGTAGTGGTAAAGTGTAAAACTGTTTTGATCAACAACGCTTATCTAATAGTTTTGTTAGACTTGTATTCCCCCCCGATGTAATACTCAGTACAAATTGCAGTCTGAAATACCGTAAAATTCCGAAAATAAGTCCAGGGGCTTATATTTTTCAAAGGCCCTTTTTGAGGGTCTTTTTTTTGGAGGGTGATTTGCGTTTCAAAATCGATTGGGCTAGCCTTATAATATTATTTGGAAGTAAATTTACCGTTTCTGCTTTGTATTTGAGGCCAATTTTCCAAGTACAAGCCCCCGCGAGGGGGAGGCTTATATTTGGAGGGGCGATTTAACGGAGGGTTTTTTGCGTTACTGGTTTGGGGGGCTTATATTTGGAGGGTTTCATTCATGGAGGGGCTTATTTTCGGAATTTTACGGTATAACCTGGTTTCCAGAGGGTTTTTTCTTATCTACTAGTTTCCTGCAAAGCGGTGACAGTGATGCGCGAAGCGCCGAGAGATGGTCCGTCTTGGGATCTTGATTAAGTGACCACGGTTTATTGTATCCTACTGTAGGTACCGTAAAATTCCGAAAATATGCCCCTCTAAATATAAGCCGCCCAAACTCGTAACGCAAAAAACACTCCCCTAAATCGCCCCTCCGAATATAAGCCACGTGGAAATTGCCCTCAAATACAAACTAAAACATAGCAAAAACGGTCAATTTCCTTCCAACTATAAGGCTAGCCCAATCTATTTTGAAACACAAATTTCCCTCCTTAGATAAGCCCCTCCGAATATAAGCCCCTCAAAAAGGGCCTTTGAAAAATTTAAGCCCTGGGGCTTATTTGCGAAATTTTACGGTATTTCGAAAACGGACCTCTGGAGCCAGGGTATCTGGATTAGAGAAGTTATACAACTTTGTTATTTTATAAACCTTTCTTTTAACAGGTGGCCATGAAAGAGAAGATGCTGACCAAACTTGAAAGAGACAGAGCTGTAGGACAGGTAAGGTCATTACTTTGAAAGGAACAGCTGTAAGAACAGGGGGTCAATTTAATAAAACTTTTACAAATGTAATTTACAAGTGTAGCTACTGTTTTCAGACTCTGAAACAATGGCTACACTTGTAAATTACAAGTATAAAAGTTTTATTAAATTGACCCCAAGACTGTGTTAGGTGGAATACGAGGGGACTGCAAAGGTACCATGTACAGTTGTGCATGGTCTTAAGTACTACCGTGCAACCTGCTGGCTTCTGTTAATTGAAAAACAAAATACTGCGGTACCCGGGGAGACTTCCGTAATAGAGGGATGAGGATACTTTTCAAACCCCTTACGTAGACCATTCGAAAATCCCAAAACAGACGACAACCAACAGAAGTAAGAGCTACATGTAGAGTGGTAATTATTTGATGCGCTTAAGATGTTGACATCGAATGCTGTCTTCAGCAGAATATGGCCAGTTTTCCTTTTTAATATACAAATGTACATCTAGCCGGCCTGTTGAAAACGTTACCGCCAAGTGGACCTTTTGTGTCCAACAGTTTTTCAAGGTTGATTTCCACTGACGCGTTTTTGGTTACGCACGTTAACGCACGTGAATTTTAACCACGTAAATAAAATAGGGGCAAGATAAAAAGTGCTGAGCTTAAACGAGAAGTTGAGCGAGTTTCAACTTTTACGCTTACGAGCGACCTTTGATGTATTGCCTCTATTTTATTTGCGAACGTAAATTTTACGCACGTAAAAATTACACGACACTGGAAATCAACCCTAAGAGTGCAACCATTGCTTTTTTCTCTTCTCCTCCTCGCTCTCTCTTTTTCTCCTTTCCTTTTCCTTCGTTAGTGTGATTTTGGAGCTTATTAAGCCCCAAAAGCCTGCCTTTTGACACCTTTTCACTCAAATTTCGTTAGGTTGGTTTTCCAAAAAAACCAACTTGACATGTATAGATAACTATTCCTTTACAACCCTAAGCAATACATGTTTGCGTACAATAATTGGCTTTTCCTTGTGGCTACCTGGTACAATGTGATTTTAAAAAGTTACAATGTTTTTTTGAACGATTTAGTATTGAAAACAAACGACGGTGCTTCCTATCTTGAAGTAAGACCATGAAAAGACTTTTTTTCGCTCTCTGGTTTTCTTTTTTTGAATTGTTATGACTTTTATCCAATTTTTTTTAAGATGGCAACTCTTCATCAAGTTGGAGGAACTCAGCTAGAAACTACTCAAGGTTTGTGTAATTATATATATGTATTGTAGCCTGAGAAAACAACCGACATTTTGTCACACCACCATCGGTTTCCCTGCGAAATGAAGTCTGAGAAACGAGCGTAGAAATTCGATACTGATGACGCGTCACTACCCAGATCTGGGTAGTGCCTTTGCAATCAAAAGCACTATCCAAATCAGGGTACTGACGCGTCATCAGTATGGAATTTCTACGCTCGTTTCTCAGGCGTCATTTCGCGGGGAAACCAGTGTTGGCGTCACAAAATGTCGGTTGTTTTCTCAGGCTACTTGTATTACAGCTACATGTCATTAGCACTGTCTGGTTCCACGGATGTAAACTTGCCTGCGAGCAAGCTCTTCATTTGGGCGAGGGAAGCGAGCCGCGCGAGAAAGGGCGTGCAAGCGGCGAAACCACCTTCTATGCCCGTCCCTCGCTGTCGCTTTTCCTCTCGTGTGCCTCTCGCGTCTGTTCTTTTTACGAAATCCCCTAAATGGAGGGTTTGCAGGCAAGCCATTTTAAACATTAATGTTTCCTTCCTTCTACCTTGCAGGTGATCAATTAAAGAAAGTGTCCCAGTATCGCCCAGCAGCTCCCCAGAAAAATACAAACGGAACTCTGCAGATTACTCCAAGCAATCATCCCAAGGTACTTAATATACTGTTTTGGTGTGTCAGTAGAACAAAGAAAACAGCAATAGACTTGCCTACGAGGTGGCCTGCGAACGCCACACGAGGCTCTCGCGCCGTTACGAGAACTCTACCAGATAGCGCTTCTGTTCACACTTGAGAACGGTGATTTCGGAACGGCTTCTGCAACGGAGGTGCGCCGTGTCGATCTTGAAAGTGGACCGTCACATATCGGATAGGTTTCTGTACCACTCTTTGGTGTAGTGTGAACAGTTAGTTGTTCATACTATACCAGATATCTTATTGACATGAAAGATTATCCGGTATATGGTGTAAACAGCGTAAAGACTCTGTATTATGATTGTCGCAAGTATCGTATTTACCCGAATAAGTGCCGCAGTGCTTTAATTTTTCACGGCTCAAATCGGCCGCGCTTATTCGAGTATTCGAGGGCGGCGTTTATCTGAAAGTTGGACGCGGTAAAGACTTGCTTTACCTACGATATTGTTATTTTCCGTATAGAACTAACAGAATTAACGTCTTTCGATTCTGATTATAGTTAACGGGGCCGCGGCGCTCATCAACGTTTTTTTTTGTCTCAAATGCGGCGCTTAATAGCGGAGGCGCTTATTCGAGTAAATACGGTAACGGTATTTACTCGGTGCTTTTTTTCTCTTGTGCATTTAATGATTATATTAAACCAATGGTGATTTTTTCGCCCGCGTTCACGATTTGTGTCGGTTCATGTAATTGTTTGTGTCTTCCTGTGAGTGGCTTCATTTTAGCGATTATGCTTTAGAACGCTTAGTTCAAAACTCCTGTATTAAATAGACTTGTTTATTGCAGGATTCCGAATTTCCCGTTGACAGTCGAATCAATCCTCAACTTGCACATCACCGAGGCCCGTCGGCGCATTTAACACGATCAGGAGGGTTTCGTTTGACCCACACTATAAATGCTCATAATTTACCAGTTAGTGGGTAAGAAAACGTTATCGCCTTGTTCAGTTAAACAATTTACTATCTCAATAAAAATATCGTTATTCATTCAAAATATTTTTTCGTTTCTGATTGGCTTAATACAGCAGGCAATGTCTAAGTTAGGATATGTGTAGTTCTATGTTGCCACTAAAGTTCTTCGTATATTCTAAGTAACATAGTGCACACAGCGAAAATAGAGATCAGAGAATGTATCCAGTGGTCGCTTACAAGAGGTTAAAAAACAATGGAAAATTATTAACCGTCAGGCCCAAAACGTGGTCGCGGTCGCTTACAGGAGGTGGACGTTTATGAGAGGTTCCAACTGCAAGGCTTTGACTGGGAACATTTTGGTGTTTTGGATTGGCGGTCGGTTATGGGAGGTGGTCGCTTACGAGAGGTGGTCGCACATGGAGGTTCAACTGTGTTTAGATTGAGGCAGATAACACTCCAGTCAATCTGCAGAATTGTTCATATCATAAAAAGCCGAATCCAATACTTTTTGAAAATATAAAAATTGACACTGAAAAAAATTCGTCGTTCATTGATTAACTGTGCGTCATATCTTACCGACAGACTGGCTCTTCATCCAAGAAAACAGGTTTTGGCGACGGTCAGTGATGACTGGAGTTGGAAGATGTGGGCAGTACCAAGGTAATAAAAAGTCAAATGGTCAGATACACGAAGATATACTAAATCAGTACATTGTTTCCACCATGATTGAAAGCATCAACCAATTATTTGCTACACTTTGGTGTAGTGGACGCGTGCCGTCACCAAATGACGCAATACAAAAGACTGAAAAGACACGTGACAATACCCGTACGAAACAACCAAACGCTAACCAACAATAGTTTCCGCAGCACCAAGAAACGCCCCATTATTCTAAAACCCGCGTCATAGAAGTAGTACAAAGTTGTTCGGGTTCAGTAAGTTTGCCTTTAACAGAATTTCGCGCCTGATTTCTTTGTAGTTCTCTCTGGCCAATAATAACAATAATTCCGTTATTTACCCTGGGCAGTGTTTATAGCACTAATGCTAGTGGGGCCGAGCAAATGTCTGAAACAATTAATTCAAATCAAACTTAACAGGGTTAAGAATCCCAACTGGCCAGAGACAAACCGGCTGGCTATTTTACAAGCGTGGCCGAGGATTTGAACTCGGGACTACCGCGAACAAATCAAGCTAGCGGTCAGGGCTGAGTTGCTCAAAGCATGGTTAGCTTTAACCATTGGTTAAGCAGTATCAAAACCAATACGTTGTCAAGGTATTAAACGCTGGTTAACGCTAACCATCCTTCGAGCAACTGGGCCCAGAGCGGGACTTGAACTCGGGGCCTCCGAATTACAAGTCCAGCGCTCCAACCGCTCGGCCACGCGGCCTCCATGGCTTTTTTTAAGCAATATATTTTTTAATGTATTATTCTGACAAACAAGACCTGGGCGTGTCTGATGAGATTTTTTTATTTTCAGTGGTGATATCATAATGACTGGTGAAGGACATAAGGACTGGCTATCAGACTGCGATTTCCATCCAGGGTATGCCCTATATTCCAAGTCACTTAGTGTAGCGGCCGCGTTTTTTCGAGTGAGAGTAGTAATCAGAAGCGAAAACAGCGCTCTGTTTCCGCTTACTGCTCCGCCGCTTCCGATCTAATGAAAATTGGGTTGTCGGATTCGCATGCTTATGCGTCGCTTACGACTCCGATTTTTGATTTTCACTCTCAGGCGCTCTTACGACGCTACTTACGACTCCGTTTGTGGTGAACAAAAACCAGCCTTAAAAAAAAGCAATTGCCCACTGAAACTCTGGGAAGGAGTAACCCAGCCGGTAGAGCGCTTGACTGCAGAGAAAGATCAGCTCAGTAGCAAGCTCAGTCGGTAGGGCGCTTGCCTACAAAGCGGAAGGTCGCGGGTTCGTTTCCCGGGACCGGACCAATACCCAGGGTCTTAAAATAACTAGGAAGTGAAGGAACTACCTTTGCACAGCAAACGGCTAGACCTCGGCGTATCCCGGATGACCACGTAAAATTACGGTCCCGTTTACAGTTTTAGACGTAAAAACAGTGTCCCCAATTAGTACCTTTGTGCTAAATACATTGACACTCAAATAAAGTGCTATTTTTTTGTTTCTCCATAGCGGCGCTCGTCTGGCAACATCATCCGGAGATGGGACGGTGAAGATATGGGACTTCTCCAAAGCAGAGTGTATCTTGACCTTCACAGACCACACGCACGCTGTGTGGGGCTGTTCTTGGCATTCTTGTGGCGACTTTCTGGCATCTTGTTCCATGGATAACACTTCAAAAGTCTGGGACGTTAACAGGTACAAGCGTAAACCAATGGGGAGCTGCTTTAGCAACGACGTCGGCGACGACAACGAGAATGTCAAAAAAAAGATAGGTTTATAACGCAAAACAACTTTGCACGTGCATCACACTTTTTTGTACTTTTCATTGCCGTCTCTGCACGACTAGCTCGTGAAAATGCCTGATTTCACGTTTTATGGAGGACCTAAACAAGCAGCGACGAATTTTTCTTTCTCTTTATGAACTTGAGCAAGGTCCCCAGGAAATCAATTCCAGGGAAATTCTCCTACAGTTTACATTTTCAGCGAATTGTAATAAATGCGACCGAGTTTGAAGAAAGCGCGAATTCACTTTAAAGGTGACATTTTCATCCTTTATTAATCTAGCTTGTTAGGTCAAAATGGCGGATTATTGGCCTCTTTCTTTCGTGCGTTTTTATTCAATGATACCCTGAGTGCCAGAGACTTTTCTAGCGAGGTTTCCGGTTTCTGTCAAGTCTGTTTTTTCTCGCGGCTTCGTCCTACGACCGAAGATATGTCGGCCTTCGGCCAACACTGAAAATTCCCCCGCACGCGAGAAAAACCTCTGCTACCCAGGGTAATTCAATGATTACTGACCTCGACTTCGTCCTTGGTCCGTGAAAACGGGAAAAAAAATTGGCCAATATCCTCTTGACCTCACGGTTGGTGATTGAAGCGTATGTACTGCGCTCCTGGTCCTTTTTTGACGAGGTAAAGGAAGATAGAGCAGGTCGATACATATGTACTTTCCTTTCTTAGCCTTACTCTTAATTTCTTTTTTTGCACGCACTGACCCGCCTCGAACAGCCTTGCTAGCTGCGGACAGTGCTTCTGTTATATTATCTGTCTAATAAAGTTTTGTCGTTGTTGTTATTGTTGTTGTCGATACAAAGTCGTTTCAATACAAGTTTATTCGGTCGAGCTGTAAACAGTTTGACGCACTTGGCTTAAAAACGAACAATATCCACCCAAAATGTTTTTCTTCTTCACGCGCAAACTAAACTTGAAGTGAACGAAAAAAAGTTGAGTTCGTATCGAAACGATTTTGTATCGAAACGACCGGTCTCCAAAGTAGTCGAGTAAACAAGCTCATAATTCGTCATTTTTCATTGTAGCGAGCGGTGCCGACACACGTTACGAGGCCATGCCGACTCAGTTAACAGCATAGTGTTTTTGCCGTATTCAAACACGCTGCTTACTTGCTCTGCAGACAAGACGCTTTCTCTCTGGGACGGAAGAACGGTTAGCAGAACAACTCTAACTTTATTTAATTTTGCATTTCTCTTATCTTTGAGTTGCATTGTGTATATGTTTTAATCTTATATATTTACGTTTTATCACAGATAACCCAGGCTCTGTGATAGTACCACAGTACGGTTCTAGTAAATTTACAGTGTTTGTATGGGGTAAAAATACGATCGTAAAATTTGTAGAAAATACTAAATATAAGTCAATGAAACTTACCCTGCAGTTAGTTGTTGTTGTCCTTATTGCTCCAACGAAGTTTCGTGATAATTTTTTCAAATTCACTCTATATACAATTATAATATACAAGGTAGGAGACAAGAGATGCCATCTTCGCCGCCATTAGTCTCATTCAACACAACTTTTTCGACGAAATTCGACCTCCAACAAAAAATAAACATGTCAGGATCGTAGTAATAGGATAGCAGCAGATATAGAAACCAATGAAGCTTTCCCAGATAGAAAAACGAATCCCGCAGACTTTGACAAACCCGAAGGGTGTAATCCAAAATGGCCGAGAATATGCTCGCCGAAGTAGCCGGGCCAGATCAACGCGCGGCCGAAAACATAAGGCCTGTGCACTGTACGAAAAAAAAATCCATCCCGGCTGTCCTGGGTTGACCTTTCTAGGGACCGATACATAGCTTTACCAAAGTTAGCCACCCCTGCTGGAGATACATGTGCTCGAGGGCTATTGTTCACTTGAGACAAACGCTACTTGCCCAAGCAAACTACATGTTCTAGTGCACGCGTACAAACACTGTAATTTTACTAGAACCGTACTGAGATACTATCACAGAGCCTGGGTTACCTGTGGTTTTATAGTTAATTTTTAAGATGACAAAAAATATGTATTAATGAAGGAAATGCCTAGAGCCTAAATGAACCGCGATATTTTCGAGTTATTTTCTAGACATATAATGTATATATTTGAAATGTAGCTTAATTCACAAACAGAAAATACATGAAAGACAGAAAAATAGGATTAAATGAACATAATAGATAATATAATAAATGAGCATAAACTAAAGCATAGCGATAATGGCTTAGCAAAAAAAAACAAACAAACAAACAAACAAACAAAAAAAAAAAGCGCAGCATCATGGATAGAGCAGAGAGCATATAGCATACTCTTCTAAAGTAGTTATATTCAAGCATACATACAATATGAAAGCTATACTGGTCAATTTTGCCAATTTTTGGCGGAGCTAGTAAATTCATGCCGGACGCTGTTGGCACCATATGCAAATTCCCAGAATTTTTTATCATAACTTGCAGAATGTAAATTGTTTCAAGACCAAGCAAAATTATCCCAGTTGTTTCACTGTGATGTCCGGTTTTTCTTTCAGAGCTTATGTGCTCAAACATTCTATGGACACATGCATTCTTGTAACCACGTGGTCTTTAATTTGAAGGTAGGTTGTTGATGTTGTTGTTCTTGCAGTAGAAACTTGTTGTTTTGATTGCGTAAATCCGTCCTAACAAATTAAAGAAAAACATGCACAGTGCGATTAGGAAAAAAAGAGGGATGAAAGGCAAACCAGTACTTATCCAAACCGATTTTTCTCCTGTTTATCATTCGTAAATGTAAGATTTTGAACGTCCCAGAAATTTTTACTACAGGCTCTCCAGATTTGAACGTCCCAGAAATTTTCTATTATATTGGTTGAGCTCCTAAATTTGTGACACTTTTTGGCAATTAATGAGTTTACCTCGTTATTTTTGACCAATTAGTTGGATTTTACTAAAACAATTATTCCTCTCGCCCTCATGGCTTTATTTTCGGCCTCATGGGCTATTGACTCAGAGCCCATTTAGTGTTCATACCAACGACCCAACGACCATAGAGCATGGGTGTTCATCAACCCAGATTGTATATTTGCTCGCTTAACTACTCATAAAAGCTTTCTCTAAGTGGTTTTTAAAGAAAACTTATCTAAATGATTTCCTAAACAGTGGCCGCCTCAGGGAAATCGAGTGGATAGATCTTTACTGGCGTGAGGAAGGAGGAAAACGAACCTTTCCACCGACCTCGCGCGTCTAGCGCGTCTTGCTAACTTGATGCTACCTCTGTTTGTACAGGGTGATACAGTCGCTTCGTGTGATGCTTACGGAGTAGTGAAACTGTGGGACGTGCGTACTGTCGCCTGCATGGCCACTCTGGACCTTGGACCCCACCCTGCAAACCGCCTGGACTTTGACCCCAGCGGCACCGTTCTAGGGGTCGCAAGTAATGACGGGACGGTGAAGATGATCGAAGTTGCAACCGCCCTGGCTACTGAGCTGACTGCACACGAGGATGCAGTACAAAGCGTGCTGTTCGATCGCCTCGGAGAGTTTTTAGTAAGCGGAGGGTCGGATGGAACTGTCCGAATTTGGTCTTAAAGAAAGAAGTACAGTGATTTGAAAAGTGTTTTTTAAATCCTAGGGGTGTTTCGCGAACAGACAAACTGAGTTTGGTAGCTTCCTAGGAAATTATTTTTTTAAATGAGCATTGTTAACTCAAAATTTGAAGTGATTGCCCTTAATTCACAAAGTACATCAGTTGAACAATTTTTGCGCCGTTTATCGGTGTCTGTTATTACGTTCGCAGCATATATCTTGTGATGCACTAGGTTAGGTTATTTCAGTGTCAGCTGTTCATGTTAAATAGAATAAAGGTACATTAAAAGGAACTTGTCCCCTTCAAATTTTTCTTTGGTCAAGTTTATTGTATTCGCTTCTGTACTTACAAAACTAATATAGAAATTAAGCCAAGCCCAAGACGTCACTGTGGCCATTTACTTCAAACTTAAATAAAGTTTAAACTATGGCAAATACATTTACAAATCTACTTAACCTTACCCTTTTAGAATTGGGCGTTTATGCACGGAAAAGCAGAATGGTAATTTACCACATCTCAAAAACGGAAGATAAGCTTAAATTATTACGTAGATCGTTACTGAAGCATCTGCTCGTAGCACTTAACCTTTCAGCAGGAACCACTAGTCAACGCGATACAAGCTTTAATTCGTAACCACCATAGTTAGTCAGTTCCGAGTTCAAATTTAGCCTGAGGAAAAAGCCGACATTTCGCGACGCCACCGAAATGACGTCTGAGAAACGACTGCAAGAATTCCATACTGATTACATGTCACTTCCCAGATCTGAATAGTGCTTCCGATTGGTTGAAGCAATCTTCTCTCCCGGCACAACCAATCAGAAGCACTTCCCAGATCCAGGCGAGTGACACGTCATCAGTATAGAAATTCTGCAGTTACTTTTCGGACGTCTTTTCTGGTCACGAGGAGAAACAGCATTCTTCGATGTTCGTGTTACGCATGTGAGCTCAACAAATCCACAGAACTGATCTTAGTGGAGCATGAGAAAGAGAAGAAAAGGAAGTAGCAACAAAGAGTTATTGACGTGGAAATGGGATCGTTTCCCCCCCTGAATTTGGCACGCACGAACTTTTCCTGAGCAACCTAGCGGACAAACCTTCCGAAAGAACGGCGAGTCTTATGCCAGTGCCATATCTTGGCTCAGAACACGCAGATCTTTTGAAATTCTAAGATCAGTCCACACATGTGTACGAGGGTCCAGAACCTTTTTTCACAAGAATGCTGACTTTTTAGATGATTTTAGTGTTATTAAATGCAAGCGATGCGGACATTTTTAAATTAGTCTTAGTATGATTTTTAGAGTAGTTTTAATAGACAGTATTTTTATTAGTTAGCTCTAGTTTTTTTAGTAACTTCGCATGTACAATGTTTATCAACGCTACAATTATTTGTGTTTTATTATTATTATTATTATTATTATTATTATTATTATTATTATTATTATTATTATTATTATGAAGCTAGATGGCCTAGGAACAAAGCTTTTTATGAAATGTTTCACAAACGAATTGCTCATTCAGTTCATAAAGATCGGTTGATTGGTTTTTAATACACTCTCTAAAGTCAGCCTCAATGAACACGTTCTTTATGCATATAAAACTTGTCATCGACTATCGTTTGAAGGAAGACCAAGTAAAGGTTTCAAGGTGATACAGAGGAACCTCGAAAAAACTAACTTCTATATAACGAAGTCCTCGATACAACAAACGATTTTCTTTACTCTAGTAATAGTAAAATGTATGGAAAAGAACCTTGATATAACGAAACCTTGCATAGCGAACACATGTTATCAGTCCCTTGGCCCTGATTTCTTTATATCGAGGTTCCACTGTACCAGGAAAAGAAGCCTCTTCTTCCACACCGCTCCGGTGATTGTCAAAACGTTGACCCGCCTAAAATTAGCTAGGCATTAGGTTTAGGTAAAACAAACCCTCTTTGCTGAAATGAAGGGAAAATTGAAATTTTGCCAATGTAAAAGTTATGGTTTGTTCAGCCGCGACGTACTTCCTTTTTTATTTTGAGCACTCTAAACTTAACTATCTGAAACTATAAAAACGACCACGTGTTGAACAGAATTTCTTTGTTCTCATTTGAACACAGCAATTTTCGTTAACAGTACAAGATCGGCTTTATGCGCTGCGAAAACGACCTCTTCAATTGAAAGCGACGGTTTGAGTGCATTTCTTCATCGTAATCAAGCAGTTCAAGTAAAAGATGAAACTGAACAATTTAGGAATCTGTTATTAAGAAATAAGTAAGCTAATTCTGGGCGACTGTTGTGTCATGTATTAGCGCCCAAACGCGAATTAGTTACACAAGTCAGTACTCAATTATACATCCACGCGTTCTGTCATTGTTCCTATTGTATTGCGTAAAGAAGGAAAATAATAACTTTAGTCCATGAAAAGACCAAACAAGGTGTTTTTAATGACAAAACGTGCAATTTTATCCCTTTAATGTATGATATTTACTGACTATTCGACACAACCTCTAAAGTATTATATCGTTTTGTGCGTAGTACTTATCACGACTATGAAAATAAGGAGAAAGCCAAATATTTCTTTGACTGGAAAGTTCGCACTATTTGGAATCCTGTTGATACTAGGTAAGTTTTTCTCGGCTATTTAAGTTGTTGCGTTTGTAGACTAATATTACATCCTGTTTAAATACAGGACCATGTGATACATTTTGACACAAGTTCACAGATAGACTATCTTCAGGGGCACCCAACGACTTTTCCCTCTAAAATAATCGTTCGACTAGGAGCAAATATTGCCTTGATATTTCTGAAGCTCGAGTAAGACAAAATGTCTGGATAACCGAAGCCTTCGTTTACGATTTTCGGACTTTTTCTACAAACCTACCTACGATACGTTTTTCAGAAGTTGTGCTTTTCAAATTTTACTATGCGCGTCTTGTTTAAAAAAAAATGTCTCTTTAAAATTTCGGTACAAAGATAAACCGTCCTCAAGACTATGATTTTCTAATGAAAGTGCGACTACGCCATGCCCTTGAATTTTCGACCAAACCCAACTAGGGTAACAAACACTACTGTTTCGGATGAGATGAAACTAAGCCACCTAAACTTTCAAGATGACCAAAGTTATCCCCAAGACATCTGAAAAGATCAACGGTTATTAAGGCACTTCCAAATTAACCAAACAGGCTCCTAAAGCCTCGAGAGAATCATTTGAGACACTTACGATGTATCTGGAAAAATTCGGTAGTTGGGCGCATAATCCTGATTTGTCTTGTAGTTGAATAGTTGCCCCTTCTCTTTCGGAAACTGGAACTACGTTTTGCTTCTTAATTCACATGAACAGTTGAATTTTCTACTCTTCTATATTTCCAGGTTTTATCAAATTTACGTCCCTTTAGTTCGGATTGACATCTTTATTTTAAGGTTCACCAGAGAAACTTTAATTAAAAGAATGTCGTTATCCAGAGGCTGACTATTTTGCTAAACTGCGCATGCCGAATATGTTTGTTTATTTCAGGCATAGTAATTACACAGGGCGAACGCCGATCATGTACTTCCTGTAGAACATCTCTTGCAAAATGCGACTTTAAAACCGGCGTTTGCAAAAGCAACTGTCGACGAACATCACTCTGCAGAAACAAGGATGATCTCTGCCTCGCTACCTGGAGCTGGAGACGAAACAAGTTTATTATGTTCACTAGCTGTTTCCGTCGCCCGCCTTTCTCAAACTCCAGTCAGTATGATGCTAAGTGCAAAGCAGAAATTTTAAATGGAACAAGAACATGCTTGTGCCAAGGGAACAACTGCAATAGAAATCCTATCGAACCGTTTACTAACCGGAGGCAGCCGGTGGCTTCTCAAAGTGAAACGAAGAAAAGGATTAAACGCCCGCGAGTAAAACGTGAGTATGAATGAATATCAGGCCTATGTGGCTTGCCTTTGGCGTTCCGTTTCGTTACGTAGTTTTTCATTTTTTCAGGGTGAGCGCACACTGCTGAACGTTTGCGCTGCACTTGCCTTAAATAAAGTAAAGGGGAGTGTAACTTATATTTTTGATCCAAGATTATTTTTTCGAGAGGAAAACTATAAGCGAAGTATACTCCTAAACTACTGGAATATGGTTAAATTGATAAGGAAAAAGGGTTAATTTTGCTCCCCTCAAATGTTTCTAAATGTGTCATCGGCTCTGATGAAACATAAAGAACTTTGAGATTGTCAGGAAATGAAAGTTTTCTTTTTTTTTTTCATTTATTTCTTTTTATAGAAGTTGGTAAGCACCCAGAGAATACAACCAAGGGTTCTTCCAATAGCCCGGCAGCAAGAGAGAAAATTCCAGAACAATCTGAAACGACCATTCAGGTGCCGAAAGCTGCATGGATAAGTTTGGTCGTGATTTTGTTACCATTTACTATCATCGTCTTCATTCATTGCCTGCGCGCGTGTACAAAGGGTCATTTAGAAAGAGAATTATTGAACAAGATTTCTGAGAGCGAACTGGACGAAGTAAGCGTGAAGCACAGCTTTGACTCAGACAACTCCATAGAGCGGGAGAAAGTCCTCGCCCAAGGAAAATTTTCTGAAGTTTGGAAAGGTAGCTGGAAGGGAAAAAGCATTGCAATCAAGATTTTTCCACCAACGGCCATTTCGTCATGGCGAAGGGAACATCACATGTACAGTATTTTGTTAGGGAAGCATTCAAATATCCTTCAAATGGTATCCTCAAAATCTGAACAGATCGGTGACTTTCTGTGTTTGGTCACAGAGTTTTGCGAGAACGGATCTCTTCTGGATTACCTTTTAAGAACGGTGAGTTTTTGAACGATGAAAGTTAAGTTTTTGACACGTAATTCATCAGCATTGGATAGAATGAAAAAAAAACACACACACACACACATCGCCTCATGTGAGGAAAAAGTAATCCCACTATCGATTGGATCCGGAATCCAAGTTCCTGACTGACAAAGAATTCGGAACTACTAGGAATCTGAATTCCACAGCGGAGAATCAAGAATCCATGACTGTCTTGGAATCCCCCAAGCGGGGTCGAATCAAAGCTCGCTAATTTTTTAGGTCAAAAGCGATCATACCACTTCTAATTTACCTATATACTTGACGGGAAGAACAGCTAAGACTGAGGAAATTAGTAAAATTACGAATAAGTAACCACAACCAAATGATAGAACCTGGTCGATACAATCAAACTCCCACAGATAGGAATTGCCCTTTTTGTGGATCCAATCAAATAGAAGACGAAGTTGACTTTCTTTTTGATTGTTGTAAATACTCTTTGATTAGGAATAATTTTGATCAATGAACTGATGAACTCATCTGATTACTTATATCAATATACAGATTTCATGAAATTTATTTCAGCCTGCTTTGATTTTCGCGACGAATTTTTGACAAAGTAGCTTAATTCTCCTGTGATTAAATTTTAAGTTCTTATTCTTGAAATATGATTATAAATAGCTTGTGCAATACTGTATGTACTTGTATGTACTTGCATGTATTGTTATGCAAGTAAAGTTTGTCGTTGTTGTAGAGTCAAGAAGAAGCTCTGACAAATATGCAAACATGGACTGTAGCCAGTTTGCTTTGTTCATTGTGGAAAGGGTCCATCAGTGTCTGCCATTCATGGAAATACAACTGTTTTTTAAAGGGAAATGCTTTCTCTAAAGTGAAACGAAAATTTTAGCGGTAAATGAGACGAAATTTTTAGCGGTAAATTAAATGGGTTATTTTTGTGGGAGCCATGTGATAAGGTTGAGATACTTGCCCATCAGAGCACTCATCTAATAGTAAAATTGATGACAGACTAATCATGAGGGAAAAATTTCGAGTAATTTTTTACTACAAAAACAGAAATGCAGAAAAATGTCAGGAGCAGAACTGGTTGGAACTCTACTGTAACACATCGTGACCATGTTTGTGTAACAACTTTAGCCTCAGGGCCAACAAGAAGTATAACGTTATTGAAGCTTCCAGAAGCTTTGGACTGCATCCCAATGACTGAGCTCGGTGCTCTCACGTGACATGTTCAAAGGCAGTCGTTTAATAAAGATGTGATGACGTAGACGCAAGACTGCCGAGACGTTTCGTGTCCGAAGCTACATTTTGAATTTTTGATCAAGGTCACATTTAAGGCTGACAGGTGCTGTAAAGCGAGTTGGTGCATCGTCATTGTCACGTGACTAAATACACAGGCATGACGTGAAAATACTGGGCTCAGTCCTTGCTGATAAGACTGAAATCATTCGGAGAGCTTCAGTGATATAATTTTTGTGGACCTTGAGACTACAATCCAAGGTCAAGAACAAAAAATCATGTCATAGTATCTTTCTCCCTCCTGAAAGATGTTCCAATCAAAATTTTTATCTAGAATGTATACCTTATGTAACATTTCGATCAGTTTCCTCCTTTTAAATTTGCTCACCAGAGAGGGGCACTAAGATGGGGTGAGGCTGTTCGTCTTGCAAGTGGCATAACAAATGGAGTGGCCTATCTTCATTCTGAGAGAAGTCAATCAGAGTGGAAAGTCCCTATAGCTCATCGAGATTTAAAAAGCACCAACGTTTTAGTGAGAACTGACGGAACATGCGTTATCTCAGATTTTGGTCTGGCAATGTCCTTGGATTCCATTGAAGACGCAAGCAAAAATGTAAGTGCCTGCTGTAAGTCTTTTTCCTCAGACTGAATGAATGTTAATATCTATTGGAATTCAACTCTACATGAGTAAAGACCGGTTTCTGAAAGGACGTTTAACGTTAATCCAAGAGTAAAGTAGTTTTGCACCTGAACGTATTTTCCTTCCCATAGATTGTGTAGAGTGTCATTTTGTGTTTTCATAAATGAATCCACCAGAGTTATAGCTGTTTCGCATAACACGCGACCTACGATGTAGCCTGCATAACTGGCGCTTTGTACGTTAGCCAAGCGAGGCGAAGGCGGCATTTTGGGCGAAGCGCGAAACAAGTGCGAAGCGTGAAACGAGTGCAACGCGCGAGACGAGGGGAGTAGAAAATGCCGCGTTCCCCTCGCGTGGCTCATAAAGCGCCTGTTATTTAGGCTACGCGCGATGCCAAAAACGTCCTGGGATTTGGCGTTTTTCTGCGACGTCAATCAAATTCGGAAGAATCGGCGCTTTCTCGCCTTCACATCTTAGCGGACCTCCTGGGAAAAAAAAGGTCTTGGTTTGTTATTGGTGATTGGTGTGTTTCTGGGTTCGTTCCTTTGAAACTTCAGATTTCGGTTGCGTGTCTTTGAAAAGCGGAGTGAGTTTTACCTTAGCTCTAACTTTTTTTTTATCTTCTTTATACTGAAACATGGTAAGTTTAGATTGTTCCTATAGAGCTTCCAAATCCAGAAGAAACACAGGTATGGGAGGGTGAAAACGAATCGCTGCGTTCCCGCCAACATCTACTTTTGCAGCTTCTGCTCGTTATTGCTGCCTTTATTTTACAAACACGGTGGATGCTATGGTAACGGTTTGATTGACGTCGTAGAAAAACCCAAAATCCTGAAACGTTTTTAACAACGCAGGTCGCGTATTATCAGAAACAGCTGTAACACCCGCCGGTGTTTTACAAACACCGGTTACATGTTTACAGACAAATAAACTTTGCTTGAAATTTGGCTCATAACCAAGGCTTAAAACTTAATCCGGCACCTTTGGGCCTCTCAATAAACCCTGTCATCTTTGACTAGTGCATGCGCAAACCAAATACATGACCCTCTAACTGTTTTTTTTTTCTGGTTTTGTCTATAACAAATTTTTTTGGACTGTTTTAATCTGCACGTTTTCTGATTTGAGAAACTAATTTTTAACTTGAATTTGCCGTTTGCCGTATATTTCACCCTAATTCTCCCCATTATCTACGACCTTAACCCTGTTTTTCTTACAGTTGCAGGTTGGTACTTATCGATACATGTCTCCAGAGGAACTACTAGCTACAGTAAGCCTCAACAGCATTGAGACATTTAAGCAAATGGATGTCTATTCAATGGCCCTTGTACTGTGGGAAGTCATGTCACAATGTGACGTAACAGGTACAATTACATTTGGCTATTCAGTCTGGGAACACCAGTCCAAAGCCAACTATGAGATCTACTGGGTAGGGGTCAAGATCCTTGACCAGGAGATCATGTGGACATTAAAAGAAATATCAAGGAGTTCATCCACATCAGACGCTAGCGTGAGATAGGGGTTTATGAACTTCCCGCGATCATTACTCTTTTTGTAGCCACGTGACTAATACACGGGCACCATTTTCGAGTTCGTTGCTGCTGATGAGTGTGTGATACAATCGAAAGCTACAGTACTAAAAAATCTGAGGCCTTTATTTTTTTAAAACTATGCTGTTGGCTTTTCTACAGAATGTCACAAAAATGTTAGTTCTCTTGTATGTGATGCTTACGCGGGCCCCTCCTGGAAACGGTGCAGCTGCAAGTTTTTAGGTCGATGAGTTTACCAGTTTTCGTTGTAAGGTTCTCCTCTTGTAACGTTTGGGTGACCGTTGAAACTCCACTCAAATCCTCAGTTGTCGAGCTAATTTGCCGATTAAAACCGACCTGAGAAAACACATTTCAGTGACATTTGCCGAGACATTTATCTTTTTCTTACAATCCTACCTTTTTTATATCTAAACTCGTGTTTAATTTTAGTACCAGGTCGCGTTAAACTAAATGTAACGATAAAATCGTGGTCAATTTTGAATCTGTCTTTCTCCTCTTCTCTGTTCCAGATAGTGAAAAGCATTATTATCTGCCCTTTGAGGATTTTGTTGGTGAAAATGCAACGTTGAGTAATATGCTGGATGTTGTTGTGGCAAAGAATTGCAGGCCCCACCTTCCAAACAACTCGAATGATCACGAGGTTAGTTGACGAGGAGCAAGAGTTTCCAAGATTAGTTTAATCTATACATACATATGGTCCCCGTCATATGACGACGGGGGACCCTAGTTTGCTCATTGGTGTCTTTCAGTCTTGCGTCTCTCAGACACTCTAGCCTAGAGGGGTGACCAACTAGCAAAGCGATTTTCCTGAATGGAGAGTTCCATGAGGCCCCTGTCACGCTTGCCCACTTTGTCATGAGCCTTCCGAATAACAGTTGTTTGGGTATTCTGAAGTCATCAATTCGCGGTACGTGGCCGAGGCAGCAGAGTCTGTTGTTTCGGAGCATGGAATCGATAGTAGTTCAGTTGGGGTGATGTAGGGCTTTAGTATTGGTTTAGTCTGTAGTTGCCTAGTAAGTTGAATTCTGCCAATCTGGAGCATATGGTCAGAGTTCGCGGTTGTCGCCCTTTTTCATAGACAAGAGTGAAGATTTTACTCCACTCTTCATAAACCTCTAATATGATATGGGTTGTTCACATCACATGCATAGGCAAGAACAAAGACTAAACTGTTTCATGTCTTTTTATTGCTTGCATCTCATTAAAAAAAAGTCACAGTAGAAAATACGTATGTATGTTCTCTCTTCAACAGGGCTTAGCTCTATTTTGCCAGACTGTAGAAGAATGTTGGGACCCAGACCCCGAGGCACGATTAACAGCTGACTGTGCACAAACCAGGCTTCAAGAGCTTCTCCTGACTTCGAAATCTGCATGACAGCCTAGACTCCGTTCACACGTGCATTTTATGCATCTTGGCGTTGCTTCCACACCAAGACAGTTAAAAACTGGAGGTTTTCGATATCAGGGAGGAATTTGGAAAGGCTCACCAAAGGGAACGGGTAAAAATATACCGAAGTTGTTTTAAAAACGCGGACATCATGTATAGCCAATCACGTATGGCTGAATGAAGATCAACAAAAAAGAATACAAGACACACGTCTGGAAATGGCATGGAGACGAAAACGGATCAGTCTAGCTATAGGCCCGTGTTTAATTGGCTGATATGAAATGTCCAAGACTACGCCAAACCTCTCTTATGGACGCGAAGTTTTCACTGTGTGTTTTTCGGGAGCTGAAGCAACGACGATGGCGACCGCAGAACGGCAGAAAAGCAATAGGTCTAGATTAGCAAAACAACAACTTTGCACGTGCATCACGCTTTTTTGTACAATTGTTTTGCCGTTGTTGCACCACTACAACGTGAAACTTCTTAAGCCTGGTTTCCATATGATTGCTACGATCGCTGTGATCGCTGCCATTGTCGAGAAAAAAGTTCACCGATCGCAGTGATCATAGCGATCATACGGAAACCACTTTCCAGCGATCGTAGCGACATGTGTTCGTAGCGATGAGACTAATAAAGTTGTTTTGGCCTTGAAAAGAAAAAGGGCAAAGGCTCGTACTAATGCGAAAAAAAGTAATAACACGGCTCTGCGTGAAACCCGGGAATGGAAAACGTGCGTGTTTTGGACCTCGAAATTCAAAAATTGTCTACCAAAATTCTAGGTTGTCTACCATCCCCACATTGAACATGATAAATGTGTTCGTGTTAAGTTTGCATGCTAGTTATTTAGTTTGGACGCGTTTTACTAATACTGCATGCTCTTTATGAAGTTCGCATGTGTTGTGGTAAGTTTGCATGCTCCTAACTAGTTTGCACGCGTGTTATTAAGTTTACATGCTCTTTACAAACTTAGCATGAGTTCTGTTAAGTTTGCCTATTCTTCACTAAGTTTGCACACGTATTATTAAGTTTGCATGCTCTTTAGTAAGTTTGCACACGTATTATTAAGTTTGCCTGCTCGTTATTATATTTGCACACGTATTATTAAGTTTGCAGGCGTATTAGAAAGTTTGCATACTTTATACAAATTTTGCATGTGTTTGTGTTAAGTTTGCATGCTAGTTATTTAGTTTGCACGCGTTTTACTAAGATTGTATGCTCTTTATAAAGTTTGCATGTTTTCTGGTAAGTTTGCATGCTCCTAATTAGTTTGCACGCGTGTTATTAAGTTAACATGCTCTTTGCAAACTTAGCATGTGTTCTGTTAAGTCTGCCTGTTCTTCACCAAGTTTGCGCGCGTATTATTAAGGTCGCACGTTTTTTATCAAGTTTGCATGCGCATTAGTAAGTTTGGCGCGTATTATTTAAGTTAACATACTTTTTATAAAGTTTGCCAGTGTTCTGTTAAGTTTGCATGTCCTTTATGAAGTTTCCATTATTTGTTTAAGTTTGCCCGCTCGTTATTATGTTTGCACGTCTACTATTAACTCAAGGGGTTTAAGGCCTACGTCAAAGGTGTGTTATGACTGGCAATATCTCTCACTAGGAGACCTAGAACAAAATGATTTTTTTTCCCAAAAGTAAATCTTGAGGTTTTCTTGTGCCTTATTAAACATTTAATTATGGTCACATGACATGTCACGCGACTAAAAATTGAAAATAAAGAAAAATGGCGAATTTACTTTGTTGGGATAAACAAATTGGCACTTCTGAAAGAGGATAAAATACCTAACTTTCTGCGTTTGGTATTAGTATTGCATGCTTAATTTATATAAAGTTTGCACGTGTTCTGTTAAGTTTGCATGCACATTAGTCATTTGCACGCCTATTTCTAAGTTTGCATTCTCTTTATAAAGTGTGCATGTGTTCTGTTGAGTTTGCATGTTGTTTCTGCGTTTGGAATGAACGTACGCGAAGTTTAAGTTTAAAATTGAAGTTTGAAATAATGTAAGATTAAATTTGGTCATTTCAAATGATATTTTCCCTCATAAATCTTTATTGAAGTGCAATGGACGGTCATTCTAAACGTGAAGGGTTAGAAATATTTAATATGAATTAAAAAATGTTACTGCTCGATTTCCTCATGTTTACGTATTATTAAGTTTGCAAACGTTTACATGTGTTGTGTTACGTTTTCATGCTTCTCATTAAGTTTGCACGCGTGTTAGTAAGTTTGCACGTGCATGCTCCTTATTAAGGGCCTGTTTACATGGAGTGGGGGACCCCGGTCTAGTGGGGTAGGTTTCTTTTGTTTTGCGTCCCCCGGAGCGTGCAAAACAAAAGAAACCAACCCCACTAGACCAGGGTCCCCAACTCCATGTAAACAGGCCCTAAGCTTGGACGCGTATTATTAAGTTAACATGCTTCAATAATAGAGACCATTGGGGTGACTCCTTTAACAAGCGTAGATTGGACGCGTTGTAATTTGATGTCATTCGACCTCGTTTCGGGTTTGAGTTTATCTCCGTTAAGATGACTTACCTTTGTAGTCGAGAGGCACTCGCAGTTTTCGGGTCTGTTATATCGGTTCTGTGTTTCGGTTAGGACCTCCTCTGATAGCTTTTCCCTCATAAGTCCTTGGACAATCTTTGCTACGTGCTGATTGACAGCAGGGCCTTTTTTGTTATCAAGTTTAAAGTTGTTTGCTATGTCAGATAGCACATCAATTTCGCCACTGGCTTCTCGGTTTGGGCTCAGAGCTGTGACTTATCAGTATGCTCTGTTCAGTTGAGTCAGATTTCTGACCTTTTTAAACTGTTCAGCTGACTCCGTGGCAACAGGTCTTTGCTGATAAATGGTCCAGGCAGCTTGTTCATCTGGTTGCGCCATTTGCAATTCTGCGTCTTCTATTGCTGGACTCTCCTCTACTACCACCTTTTCCAGGGATGCCTTCATATCGCCGAACTATTTGGTCATGGTTGACTTCAAGGAGGCGGGAAGAAACAAGCAAATCACTCACAGTCCCATATTGCAGCCACGTGGCCGCCTCGCCAGTTTCGGCGGTGTCCTGTTTGGTTTGTTCTGCGGAAATTTTCCGCGAATAATAAGTTTCCCCTGAAAAAGTTTTCATGTTCTCAGTGGGCCCTAGCGGATTACCGCTTAGGTGCTTTTATACTCGAAGGCAAGATGAAAGTTCTGCTGAGAATTTTGCTTCTTTCCGTGGAAAAACCTTTCCTTGACTGACTCCAGCAAAGGCGGGACATGCACTGATCATTCGGGCTGCAAGTGCTTTCCCACGTGACTTCAAAGTGCGCATGATGACGAGACAGAACCTGCATTTTTCCATGTTAGCCTAAACAGGTTGTAGCAAACGGTAACTAGCATAACTTTGGTAATTTTCCCCTAAAAGGATCCTGAATGTTGACCTATCTTATTTGCTCAAGTGAACTGATTTTTTTTATAGATTTTAGAAAATAAGAACCTGTTTAAAATTTTAGGCTTAACAGGTTCTTGTACAAAACGGGTCTAACTGAAAAATTTTAGCTTATTACGTTCTTACTAGGGAGTTTTACTAACTTGAAGTGCATTTGATTTTATTTATCTTTCCTTGAATAAGCCAAGTTTGAAAAATATAAATAAAACTTTCACACACTCGCCTCCAAAGATAGGGCTGCCTGGAGTTCCTGAACCCAAAGGGGAAAAGGTTTGTTATCAGAGATTTTTTTTCTTCTACTTACCTTTTCTAGTTTTCCGTAAAAAGTTCAACTCAGTAGCTTCAGTGGTAGAAGTAGGTTATCATGGCGTAAGAAGAAATTTAAAAAACAGAAAGAGCCCATCCAAAACAAATTCATCCATTCTAACACTAAAGACGGCCGAAGTTAAAATAAGATAAAAAACTGTAAGTTCCTTTTGTCAAATGCTCCCCCACAACTCCCAGATCCATCACAAAAAACATGAAAACAAAACCGCCAGGATTAAGTCTGGAGCGGTTTAGTTCCTGAAGAGTTACGACATGAGGGGGGTAATTAAGGGATTAAACTGAAATGTTTCGTGTCGTCTACTGCTACGGATGGAAAGGATTGACGTGTTTTCAAGTTTTACTGCTATGCCTACAAAAATCAACAAAAATTATTATTCGATATTATGCTCAGTGCTCAAAATTCATTTGATATCTTCGTTACAACTTTACAGGAGCAATTTACGTATGGGGTAAAAGCACTAAGTTACGACTTTAGCACAGTAACCTAAAACAGTAATATTCTCGTGACATGGTTTCTTTAAAGTCCTTTTAGTATAATTATCGAAAGACTTTGGAACCCCACCTATCGGACCATTGTTCCCTTTCATTCGCATTAATGCTAAAACACAAAAAAAGGTGCTCCGGCAAACAACCAGACGAGATCACGTTAAGCGAATTTAAGAAATTAGTCTGGGATGATAATGCGAAATACGAATTAAGCCGACTCTTAGAAAGTAGAGAAACAAAAAACAGGCTGAACACAGCACTGAATAACAATAACGTGGACACAATGACTGATCTATTCACACAAAACTTAATTGACGTATGCAAAAAAGCAGGCTTGAGATTCATTAACACCACGAGGAAGCATAGTGAAAAACCATGGTTCGACGAGCAATGCAACATAGAAAAAGAGAATCTTAAATCATTGGGTAGGCATATCTCACGAAACCCGAACGTGGAGGAATTGAGATCAAATCTACACAAGAAAAAAAAGGCTTTCAAACAACTGTGCAGAAAAAAGAAACGCCAACATTATAATCGGATAATTAAATGCATTGATCTCAGTAATGGTAAAACTGCGTGGAGACAACTTAGGAAATTATTCAACCTGGGCAAATCCAAAAATATGCAAAAAAATACATCTGAGGACTTAGAGAAGTTTTACAGTTACTTTAAAAAGTTAAACGCACGAAAACAGCAAAACGAAGAGTACATACTAACAAGATCAGAGGCCTTGGGCCCCTAGATT